GACAGACAGACAGACAGACAGACAGACAGACAGACAGACAGACAGACAGACAGACGGACAGACACACAACGGGGATGCGGTAGAATGAGATATGATTGAATTGCGTACTGATTGTTAGTTGTCTAAACTAACGGTTGTTATTCATTATCTATGTAAAACAGTTATCAGATCTACATGTCCTAGCAGATCACAATCTACGTTACTTTTTATTATGTCATTTCGACACAGTCGCTATTTTGAATTGGTTGAGCATTCAATTATAAACTGAGCAGGGTATCGGATGGCACGGTATAGGTTTCATAACCGTTTTAAACTGTTAAGCTAAATGCACGGTCGAACGTGTATAGGATGGCCACAAATTGCAGAGGAGAAAAGGGTTGTCTTAGACAGGTGGACGTCTTGCATTGTGTCATTATGATTTTTGAAAAATCCCATGAGGGGAAATGGGAAGTGACTGTTTGTACAGGTGATTGTCCGATGCAGGTGGTCGTTAAAGCAGGATGGACCTCAGGATTCCATCTCAGTTATGATCGAAATTTAGATGGGAAGAAGGCGGTGGCTGTGGAATGGGCATACTTGCAGGTAGTCAAGCAGCTGTTGCATAACAAGGATAGTATTTGACTGGAATCTATAGGGAAAAACAAATCAAGGGGAAGACCACATGGAACCTGGAGAAGAGTCACAGAAATTGATATACAGAAAAGTGGGAAGACATGGAATAACGTCAAGAGCATATTATCCTAGGACAGAGAAAAGTATAAAGAGTTCGTTCGTGGCCTATACTCTGACCCAGGGTAAGAAAGGCAATGATGACGATGATGTAGGTGGTGGGCATTGAAACTTACTCAAACAACTTAAGTTTCTGAACGCTCCTTTTGTTCCTTGAGCAATGGTTATGAGTTTTACAGCCAGTCATGATACCTGGTTGAGCTTAAGCAAAACGTGTCTCCTCACTCGAAAATTGAACGGAAGTTTTCAGCATCTGCAAAGACAACAGTACACATAACAGCGAAAGATTATGGGCTCCAGAGCCAGTCATCATATCGAAAAATCCCCCCCCCCCCTACTTACGAAAATTGAACACAAGCTTTCAGTACACATAACATAAATAGCAAAACAAAACTATTATTATTTGCATCGTTTCTCTCCAGGTTGTGTACACCCTGCCCGACCAGCAGTCCGAGAAGTTCGCAGATCTCTTTAGAGACCTCGACGAACAAAAGGAGCAGCTTGGCATTGAGGGATTCGGGACGACGGCTACCACAATGGAGGAAGTGTGCATAAAGTGAGTGGAATGTCAATCTAATTTCCTCAATCACAGATATCCCCCCGCCCCCACCCCCACCCCTCCCCAAACACACACATATTAATATACACATCATATCTATTATAATATAATATTTTACAGTTCTGAAAAATTTGGGTCGAACATTTCTCCCACCTTATTTGTTTATCGTCAGACAGAAAAAAAATACAGGCTAGATTGTCTAAAGCATTTCCCACAGTTCACATCGTATCTGTATCAGTAATATGTAGTATGTAACTCAGTTTTTACAGTAGAGATAAGGTCATTTCATATTAAGGATGCAAAAATCACACAGTGTACTTACCAACTGGATATTTTAAACGTAAACAGTGAAAACAGTTAACTTTCTCTCCATGAATTTTGCAGAGTCGGAAGCGCTCCTGAGTATCACGAATCGGACAAAGAAGAAGAAGAAGAAGAAGAAGAAGACTCAACTCCAACCTCTTTTTTAACTTCCACAAGAAATCGGATCAACGCTCTTTTCGGTTGCAATGCCCATACCAATGCCGACCCGTCGGTGATCAAACACGATGACCATTACCACGTCGAGCCTGACGGAACTCGTTTGGTAGAGTCAGTCGCTTTAGAAAGGACCAGAGAAAAGGGTGAAATTTTGGAAGACAACAAAGCGCACATGAGGACAAAATCTGCACCATCCAACAAGAGCAATGGAGCCCTGGTCCACGATCAAAATGGAACCGTTACTATTTCAAAACAGCCTGCTGATACCCTCAGTGAGTGTCAGCAACTAAAGCTAAATGTGTATTGTTTCAATTTTTTCTTACAGGTAGCGATGTCGATATCACATTCGGTATGTATCTCTCGTAGCTTAATATTATTAGAGTTTATATTATCGTTCATTTATTTTATGCATGTGATTGTATGCCTGCATGTGTGTACATGTTTGTGTGTGCATGCATGTGTGTGTGTCTATGTGTGTATGTATGTGTGTGTTTGTGTGTGTGTGATGAAACACCAAACCAATGGGCCAGGATCTGAACAATAAAGATGTATCTTATCGTGCTGGTTGATTCTGGCTGTAACACGAGGCAGTGCGTGTTTAAATTTGAGTTATTTGGGACCAGGTGAGGGGAGGGGCCCGAGAAAGGGGGCGAGGATATCATGTCTCTTTATCCACTTATCCTTTTGGCTCACTAATGTCTAATATGGATATCACATTTGGATTAGATTATTGCTTCTTAGATATATGTACCTAAACATTTATTCGAGCATACTTTTTATACCATAACATACCTCACACAGCTTGTGTTCACGTACTTTAACACATTCTTGATTCTGTCGTCAATATAACGTTTAATTTTCAGGACTTAACTCGTCTCTAGTCAGTGTGTTATTGAGTGGAGGCCAGTGGGTGTGTGTGTGGGGGGGCAGCTGAAGAATACCTACTCGGTGATCTGATGTATAAATCTTTAAAAGATAACAGTTGGTGGTTGGTGCGTGCTCTGGTGGGGTTTGCTCCCTCTTGCTCATCGAACATCAATTGTCCTTGGCTGTTCTCCTTTTTGTGTGCGTTTGTTACTCTTTTGTATCATCTCTAATTTTTGGCTCTTATACTACTTTATTGTGTTGAAAGTGACGTACAGCTTTAACTAAATAAAAGATAACATCTTCGACCCAATGATCTCTACCACCTAATAGTTCAAATATTGTCGTGAAATTTCCGGGATAGAAACATTTACTGTGCGCGTGGTGAAAAATACCGTATGACGCATTTTGAGGAAGTGCTTTTTATTGCATTTTTGGTACAAAAATAATTTCTAATCAAGATTTTTTTACACTTTTAAAATGCCTTCAATTCTCTGTGAGATCTGGTTAACGTTGACATATTTTGTGCGAAAACGAAGTTTTTAGAAAATGTGCTTTAAAGTTTCCCTGTAATCTGGATCGAGTAAAGTAAAGTTGTTCCCGCATCCGATCCGGACATTGGGTGGGGATTGCCTTGTTAGTGAGACAACTTCCTGAACCTTCGGCATATTGTGATAGGGTGGCCAGTTCCTTTCCACGTTGCTTTTACTTCTCCAACTCGAAGTCAGGTACCCATTACTGCTGGGGTGGGCAGGAGAGGGCGAAAAAAATCAATGTACGAACCGAGGCTCGAACCTGGACTTTCCTGAATCGAGTAGTACCGCAAATAAATATCGATCCATGGGCCAGCCGCATTGTTTTGTCTCTAAACCCTTGACAATAGTTACTACTTGATTAAAGGTATGTATGTATGTATGTATGTATGTATGTATAGTATAAGGTTTTACGGCGCTCGCAACTGCTAAGGTCATATGAGCGCGGATTAAAGGTATGAAACTGATGGCCTTTTCCACCGTACAGCAGATGTATTTTTATATATGAGTGCTTAACACCCCCATCGAAACTATCTACACCATTCAGGAGGTGAGCTTCAACCCTGCCAGTCTGTGCCAACCGAAGCTGGGAGGGAAAAGACCATCATTTTCAGAAGGAACCACCATAGTTAATGAGACGTAGTTTTCTTTCTTTCTTTCTTCTTTTTTTTTTTTTTTTTTTTTTTTTTTTTTTTTTTTTTAAGGAATGAAGCCATGTAAATGCAAAGAAATCTGAAACGTGGTTTGAATAAAATAGAAGACAAGGAAAAGTGAAAGAAAAAAAACTCTACCGACGGCAAAATCGTAAATCTGATCGGAAAATGTATGCCCGCACGTACACACACACACACACACACACACACACACACACACACACACACACACACACGAGAGCGCGCGCCATCCTCTGTTCTACACACTTCTGTACACATATACATTAGTAATCTTGCACCCACAAACATATTATTCGAAATCGCAGGCACAATATAAATGAACAATTATTTTAACAATTATATTATGTCTTTTGTTAAATGTATGTTTTCTGGAGGTTTATTATCTTCCACTAAACACTTTCTAATCATGTTTGTGATTTGTCAGGATTTAACCGTGGCTACACCAAACTGGAGAACATGGAGCTGAAAATAACACAGCTGAAAGCTCTACTAATCAAGAAAGTCCTAATAGCAATGAGACATAAATTCATATTTATTTTTCAGGTAAGGAGCGTGTTATTATCGTTTATATCTACTCTTTGGATTGGTTTGCGAAATATTTTTGTGCGGGAAAAATTCGTTGCGCAGTTTATCTTCAGATATCTGTGAAAAGGGTGAATTAATGTCACAATACTTTGCACAGCAATTTGCATCAAATAATTTGTCTCTCTTAAGCATATTTTCCCACTACAATTGAGGGTAAAATGGATCCTTTAAAGAAATGTTATTTCATAAATACAGAGAGATCTCAAAAAACCTGTGCAACTTTTTTTCTGAATATTTCGCACATAATGTGCACTAGAATGCTGTAATCTGGAACATAATTATATTATAATTCATTCAAAAGGAATTTGTTTGACAAAAAAAAAAATCATAAAGAAGAAACATAATATTTTCGAAAACGGAAATTGATTTTATACAAACCACCTATAAACGCAAAATGCATCAATTTAAAAGATCTTGTAATTTAAGGAGAATCGTGAAATGATTGGGGGGGGGGGGGAGGGGGTTCACTTCCTTTTCTTTTTAAAGTCTAATCGTTCTATCCTTGTAACATTTAAACAATAATATTTATTTTCTCTTACAGAGTTTTAGAAAAAAAAATAGTTCTGGAATTCCTAGATCTAATGCTCTCTGTGTCCTCCTATGGACTGGGCACATTTTAACGCGTCGCTCGTAATGTTCAGCGATGGCCAAACAGAAAGATCCACCCAACCATGAGTACTCAAAGGTACACACACTGTACACCTTACTGTATGATGTTTCTTCTAGAGACAGTAGAGTGCGGGTGAGGATGCCCAAAAAGGCATTTGTGGAGTTAACATATCCTGAAATGTGAATAATATGAGATTTGCCAAAGAATCAAATGTCATAGAGGAATTTTCACTCGTTTCAAGACGATCGAGGAATCATGAATACATTGCTATCGTCTGATTCATGTCAGCTTCTCGAACAGGAAAATGGTACAGTCGTAGTTGAAGATCTGCCTTAAAAATGCAGACAGTTGAGATATTGGAAAGTCCTTGCAGTAGACATCGTCTACGAACAGACGTCTCACGGGGTTCATCTTTTGAATTCTGCTCCCTGGTGACGTTTTAAAGTGGTGCGAATGTTGTGTGTTTGGTTTGAAGTGGTCGTTTTGTCTGGGATTTTTTTTTTCTGATTTTCTACAGGTCCTAACTAATGGACCATTTCCACCCACAACATCAAAGAAGGCATTAAGGGCATTTTAACATTGTTACCGTACCTTGTGCGAAACGTACGAAATGAGTTGGCGGTGAGGAAATGTTCAATACAAAAAGCTCTCTGCTCCTTTGTTGTCTTTACCACGATCTCAGCAGAAAAAGGAAACGGGGGAAACACCGCCCGCAGACTCCTGTTGGCTGTTGGCCTGTTAGACTACTGTTGTCTGCAATATGGCGCGCATTGTTTGGGACTTTTAATGGTAGGCCTAATACGAACTAGTGTGTCATGCTACAAAAATGGGGACATAGCTGAAAATAGGTTGTTTTTTACGCGCTATGCAGAGCAAAGCCATTCTGTGGAATCGTCTAAAATAAATATCAGACTTCCAAATGTTGTGTTCAAATTTGAAACCCAAAACTTTAGTGTGGAGGGAAATATTTACCCAATAGAATTGTCTTGTTTTGGTTAGTTTGGTTTTTTTAATATGGATCATCCTGTAAGTATTACAAATCACTTTCACGCGCTAAGTGGAAGTGTTCTCAGCACTTTCCGTTTCTCACACAATTTTTGCGCATGCGTGTCCTTCGTCACAGCTCACCAATGACACTGTCAGTTTTAGATGCTAAATTGAATTGTACGAATAAATGCAAGTGGTTGGTTGGAGGTTGACACTGAAAGATTCTACTTCTTTACTTCCTTTCTGTTCTTTCCGTTTGCCTGTCTTTTTTTTTCCTTGCACTAAATGGCCATTATTATCTCGATACGATTTTCTTATTCAATCAAACAAATAAACAGTCAAACAAACAAACTAACTAACAACAACAACAAATCAAAGAGAGCATAATTTTGGCAATCTCCTGATTCATTGTGACAAGTGAAATTGTAAAGATCTTCTGCTCTTCTTTACAATAATTGTCTGAATAGGAGCAGCATGAGAATGAAAATGAAATAGGAATCGTACTGGGGCATTATAAAAATGGTGAAATGGTATAGGTTTATCATCCCTATCAACGCAATTAGGTTGTTTTAGAAGCAAGTCCTCCGAGTTTATCGTCCATCTCCGAAAGGACCGAGCAAAATGGGAAGTTCGTGTAAACTGCCTTTCCTAGGGACACAACGTCCGACCGAGCTGAGGCTCGAACCCCCGAACCCAGAGGTATTGTGACAGGAAGTTGACATATTATATTATATAACAGACACTGTTCTATCTGGAATAGAGGTCAGGATATTTCTGATTTAAAAAGGTGGGGGTCGCCTGGTTCAATGAATATAAATAGCGAGATGACGACTGTCAAAGTTCACGAGTTCGATTCTCTACAAAGATATGTGTTGGTCTGAAAGACATGATTGCAACCACCCTCTCCGTTTGTTCTAGATAGTAGTAATATATTAATAATACATTGTAACAAACCGCATTTGTATAACGCATATCCCTGCTCTAAAACAAGCTCGATGTTTTATAAATTCTATATTGTGCCTGAAGGACAGAAAAATGTTTTCGACGTTTACACCTGTCCCCTATTGTATTATGTCCTTTCTTGTTGTGTGAATGCGTGAGTGCAGATGAGCTTTGTAACACCACTCCTATCGTTAACAACAATAACAAAATGTGTGTCACGGCGCGGTGACATCAAGCGCTTGTCAATTTTTAGGCATGCGGAGTTATTGATATCATCTTAAAGCTTCTTCATTTGTCTTGTTGCCATAAAGGGACAAATACTCTTCTATAAGGAATAGATGTCGTGATATTTCTCATTGAAGAAGGTGGTGTCGCCTGGTTTTATGGGTAAAATTAGCGAAATAATGGTTGCCAAAGTTTGGTGACTTTCAAAGCTTGAGAATCCTTGGAAACTGCCAATCTATGTTTGTGTGTCTTTTGTCTATCTTTTAAGTATGATCCAGATAAAAATGTTTTTAAATGGACATTAAAGGTGTTGAATTAAGAAATTAAAAAGTCGATAAAAATTGCAAAACGAGCGGGAAAATGCCTGTTTCTTCTGTTTCATTCTTCTGTCGAGCACCTGATTTCACACCGATGCCTCCTCAACTTTAAATTTCTCCCTGTGGGATTAATGAACGCTGCTTTTGTCCTTGACATATCTTTTTTTAATGTATACTCTTTTTTTCACCAGCTCACCACACCAATCGTCTACGCTGTCCTTGCGAACTTTTTTTCGAATGCTCTTCCCGGGGATGATGACGAGACGGAAAGGATCTTTGACCTCTCGCATTTCGGAAGAACTTCCGTGCCGTACAGCTATGGAGTCTGGCCAACGCAACTGTCCCAGACTTTGGCAATGACCTATGTTGGTCTATTTAACAGCACATCTGATCTACCTCATCTTGTAGACAGAGTGGAGGTACCTTATCTCGTTCTAGTGGGGGGGGGGGTCGAGTTGTGTGTGTTATCGGCAGTTTCATAGTCATCATCATCATCAAAATATCACATGTCGCTGGGACCAAGTTGAGCTAGTGAGACTGCGGTCGGACCATCATTGGAGCCTGAGATGGTATCAGAACTTTGTGAATGAAGAGCTCAGCCCACGTTACCGAAGATGCAGCCATGAAAAGGAGGATGTCAAACATATTATGTTTGAATGTCCAGGAACAATGACAATCCGAATGGAGTAATTTGGACGAGTGGAGGTGCCTTTGAGTATAATGAAAAAGAGCCTCGCTCTGGCTCGAAAAAATTTTTCGTGGAGTCCAACAGGCCCGTTAAGGAAACAACAAAAAATCATCATCATCATCATCATCATCATCATCATCATCATCATCATCATCATCATTGTATAAAGAAAGTATTAAAACAGTTAAGACCTTGTTGTATTTCCAAAAATATATATGATGATGATGATGATGATGATGATGACGGATGCAATATGGTGGCAAAGTAAGAGTATCAAAATTTTTCTTTCTCCCAACAAGTGAAACAAATATATTCTCTATTCCATCCAATTGTTTATGATAGTATGATTTTTGCAGTGATAATTGTTGGGTATTATAGTAAAATCAGATGCTCGTCAAAGTGATGGAATAGGAGATAGCAACATGTTTCACCTGTTGTTGGCAATTGTTTTAAATAATTATTTTTATTAGCTCAATACCTTTTACGTCACTTAAATTCATTTCTGTGTTGGACAAAAATGTAAATTTTCAGCTTTCAAGGGCACCCAAGCTCCAATAGTCACCAAACTTTGGCAGCGAATTTCTCAGTAAATATATATATTACATAATATGTGTTTGTTGTGTGTATGAGTGTGTGCGTGTGTGTGTGTGTGTGTGAGTGTGTGTATGTGTGTGTGTGTGTGTGTGTGTGTGTGTGTGTGTGTGTGTGTGTGTGTGTCTGTGTGTGTGTGATACCGTGCAACCTCAACTCTTTCAATCGCAAATATCTTGACTTTCATTCAAGATAGCCGGAACCGTTTCATGAGACAATTTCTAATCCATTCAATTGTTTAGAATAGCATGACTTTTACAACTATTGTAATTGCACTGTATGCCATACTTTTTATGCCAGTGGCCAAGTTTCTCTGAGTATCTGCTGCGGGAGGCAAAAGACAACGGCATCTCCACTTTCAGTGAAGAGGTCATCATTGGCGCTGATTTTGAGTCTGATAACAGCAGTAGCAATGCCAGTGTAGTCTCTGCTTTCTTCAACGACCGTCCCTGGCACGCAGAACCAATAGCCCTGGTCACTGTGATGCAAGCACTGGTCAAGTATATCATGGGCTCCGACTACAGGTGAATAAACAAACCTCAACCGGGGGGGGGGAGGTTGATAGAGGCAGAGAGGGACATCGAGAGATAAAGAGAGAGATAGGGAGAGAGAGAAGGGGAAGAGGGGGGTGAGAGAGAGAGAGAGAGAAAGATGTGTGGTGTGAGAGTGATGCATGGTTCCTAATAATTCACATTGTATAAATAGATCATTGTGTCTCAAGTCGTCCCTAAGATGATAATACTATGTTAAAGATGTCTAAACTTAGAGAAGTATAATATATTCGAACCTAGTCCAACGACGTCTGTCTAAGACAATCACCTGTCCAAACGACCACTATCCACTACCAGCCTTTTCTCCTTGCTTAATTTTCCAAATGGATAATGACTTTGCGCTACCTTAGAATTACAAAGTTATATCTAACATTTTTGGCAGTTTTTATTTACAAGGAACAAAAGGTCAGAAACCAATTTCAGTCTGCTCTATCAAATTTGTCAGATTATTCTGAGTTGTTATCAATTTATTCAAAGAATCGCATTCGAAAAAGCTTGACATGTTGTGTAACTCAAAATGTTGTACTTCAAATTCCTCAAAACTAGACACTGAGCTGATATAACTTCGTTCTTCTGGGGTAGCGGTTGTCCAAACGGACCATCTGTCTACGATGATCACTTTTTTTCCTGACAACGGGTAGTCACCTTGGACATGTTTGACTGGTTTCATTCTTTCACTTGATGTTTGATTAGCAGTTTCCGTGGTGCGATTAGGTGCTTCGACCTTGAAGGCTGAAAACCCGAATTCGATTCCCATGTTGAGGAAATTCTTATGTACTATATCAAAGATAGTCATAACAAGATGGTCCTCTCAGCCAAAAAAGTGTCGGCCGGAAGTCTGCTCTTTGCTTCAGATGGCGCTGCAGTCTGTTTTGAAGCTCTCTTTCGTTTTTCCAGAAGAAGAATAGGAATAGCACCTCCTTGCGTACGAGGATCGACTGCTGTTCATCAGCAGTTCGGGTTCGTTCAGTGCGGAGTTTTAGGGGTTTTTTAATGTTAATGACCACTCGCCTTTCATTCTAAAGTCGAATTAAACGAAGAAAACAATCACCCTTTAATCCGGAAGAGGTTTTTTTTGGTCAGCGTAACCATTAAAAAAAAACTTTCTTACGAAATTTATTCAAAAACTTGCTAGTTTCACTTTAATTTTTTAAACTCAAGTAGGGTAACTCTGTTCGCAAAGGGTGCGCATTTGCGAAGAGGGCGCCACCGAATTTTGAGGACACTTTTTTAATTGGCTCAAAGAGAGAAGTGGCCCCTCTTGTTATGTAGACTCTTTGACTATATTGAGCCTTCTGCTGAGAGGTTGAATCCCTCTCAGCCCAAGCTGGTCCTGACATGCGAGACCAAATCTCACAACTTAAATAATTTAAATAGTGTCGGTTTGGACATAAAAACGTATACAATAAAAAGGAATTTAAGTAACATGAATATTTTGTTTTATGTGAAGCTCTTTGAAACGTAGAAAAACGTGTAGGATGCAGCAAGGAGATGGGGTTATAGTGTTTTTTATTTACCGGTACATGTTCTGATATCGATGTTATCTTCTCGAGTTGAGACTCGTCTTATTAAAAAGCAAAGATGCCCTAGCTAAGCAAGAGGTAAAACCTACCCAACTTGCCAACTCGACTGAATTTTTTTTTTAACTCACAAAAACAACCCAAAGTCCAGCATGATAAGAGCCAACTGGGGGGGGGGGGGGGCGAAAGCAAAGACGCAATGTTTCCAAATTGTCTTTGCAACACTGAAAGGTTATTGGAGAGGTGTGACCCACAAATTCAACGCTTACTTCCGACAGGACCGCGCAAAATGGAACACTTGTTTTGTAAACTATCTTTCCCGAGGATATAACGTTGGACTGAGCAGGTCCTCGAATCCCCGTACCCACAGATTCACGATTTACTTAAAGAGTCCACTAAACAAACTACCCCACTGCACTGAAAGCAGGGACAGATAAATACTCGTAGATAGATAGATAGATAGATAGATAGATAGATAAACAGATAGATAGATAGATAGATAGATAGATAGATAGATAGATAGATAGATAGATAAACAGATAGATAGATAGATAGATAGATAGATAGATAGATAGATAGATCGATAGATAGATAGATCGATAGATAGATAGATAAATAAACAGATATATAGATAGATAGATAGATAGATAGATAGATAGATAGATAAACAGATACATAGATAGATATATAGATAGATAGACAGATAGACAGATAGATAGATAGATACCCTTGATTGTATTTTCAACTGATTTCTTATAAGTGCATGCATATCTGTTTTTTCCTCAGCATAGAGACGAGTATTTTTCCCATGCCTATGGAAGCGGAGGACAGATCGAAGCAGAAATCTGACTCAGCAGTTCTAAGTGGAGTGACTATTTCCACGAACATTACTTTTGGCATGGCTTTTTTGGTCTCCAGCTTCGTATTTCCTCTCATTCAAGAGAGGGAGGTGAGACCTTGGATTGTTCGTGTGTGTGTGTGTGTCTGTCTGTCTGTCTGTCTGTCTGTCTGTCTGTCTGTCTGTCTGTCTGTCTGTCTCTCTCTGTGTCTCTCTGTCTCTGTCTCTGTCTCTGTCTCTCTCTGTCTGTCTGTCTGTCTGTCTCTCTCTCTCTCTCTCTCTCTCTCTCTCTCTCTCTCTCTCTCTCCCTCTCTCTCTCTCTCTCGTATTGTCTCCAATTTATGTCATTATTGATGTGAAGCACTAAATTATGTATGTGTCGTGTCAAAATTTAGAAGGTGTGAATGTGCGTGCCAAAGGCCTATCAAATCAATAAGATCTAGAAATCTCAAATCTCCCTCCCTCTCTCTCTCTCTCTCTCTCTCTCTCTCTCTCTCTCTCTCTCTCTCTCTCTTTCTCTCTCACTTTCTCTCTCTTGCCTTCTCTCTCGCGACATAATGACAGGCTTCTCTTGTTTTATTGTAAGAACAATAATTGCATCTACGGAGTGTCTGAAAAAAAGGGCCCACTTGATCACCTATACACAAATTTCAATATAGCTTGGAACAAGTAAAATTCAACTAGAGAGATGTAAAAGTTTGTCAATATGAAGAAAATCAATAGGCGTGTTCGAGAAATATCAAGCTTTTCATATTTCAATCAAATTTGGGAAGGTGCAGAATTTTGCTTCTTAACAAACGTTCAGTTACAGCAGAGTGATCGGCACTTTCTGTTTCCTGGACAAGAGGGATATAACAACGACAGTCACAACAGATGGGTATCTCACTGTGCTGGGAAAGTTTGGGAGACTATTTGGATGGAGAATGTGTTATGTTACGCTGAAGAGGCCTGCGGGGCCAAAGTGATGGGTTCACACCCAACACGTCAAGAACGTCCCCTGTACGGTTGCAAGAAAGGTTTGGGGAACACCTAGTAAGCCGAAAATTTACAAAGGAATGGTTACAACAATTTCCCAGACTTGCGCCCCTTTAAGTTACGACCTTTGGGGTCTATGCCAAACAGTATACGGAACAATCCACAAACTATCGAACAGTTTGAAATTCAATGTAAAACAGGATGCTCAATGAATTGACCCAGAAACATGCCAACGTGTTATTAAACATTTCTGTGGCGTACGTGAGCTTGTATGGAGAGAATTGTTTAACACCTGTAAATAGCCTCCACCTGCTCTGGGGTTATTTTAAAATATCATTTTTGTATAATGTTTTCTATATATATAGTGATTGTTTGAAATAGAGCAATACAGTTGATTTTTAAGAAGTTGCATAATTTTGAGCGTGAGGTTGGAGAGCGCCACTGGTAGGTCCTGCCTCTTTATTTCCCTCTGTTGTTGCTGTCTGTCTGTCTTACATTTTTAGCACTTTTTAGAATTTTTGTCTCAGTGTGTTTCTCTTTACTCAAACTCACACAAAATGTTGCGTTTTAAACAATTTTTTTTTTGGGTTAAATTATTGTTCTATGAATTATTTGTCGAAGTCGGTCTACATATAATCGAGTTATTGCTCTTTAAATGGGTCCTCGTCAGTTTGCATATTTGTTTTAGACAATCAAAGTTTGGTGATATTCATCACTTCGGGATTCTTGGAAACTGAAAATTTACATTTTTTGTGCCTTTAATCAAGCTTTTACAGTAAAAATGTTTGTAAATAGACATAAAAGATGTTGAGCCAAGAACCAAAGGTTCGATAAAAATTTCCAAACCGGCAGAAACATGCCGATATCTTCGATTTCATTATTTTGACCAGCGCCTGATTTCACACTTTATAGCGGGTACATGCATTTAATAGACTGGACTTTCTAACTAATATCCTTATACATCATACTTATTGATTATAGTTTGTTCACTTCGTTCCCAGAGCCCTATCTGACAACAGTGAAACTCTGTCAAAGTGTAAGAACAAAAAGCTGTATTGCATATTTTGTGATGGAGATATAGACGTATTCACTACTGTATTAATTAATTATACTCCACAGACGGGTAGCAAGCACCTTCAGAACGTCAGCGGAGTGAGCCCTTTCATGTACTGGCTACCCAACTTCATCGGTGACTACATCAATTACATCCTGCCCTCGGTTTTCATCATCTTCGTCTTCCTTGCCTTCGACGAGAAGGCGTATATCGGAGATGGGAACGTCTTCCCTTTTTTCCTTCTCTTGGTTGCGTACGGCATGTCGGTGCTCCCCTTCTCTTACGTACTCCAGTTCCTTTTCAAAGCGCCAGCTTCAGGCTTGGTGGTGACACTCATGTATCATGTCTTTACGAGTGAGTTGTTTTTGTTTTCTTGTTTCCTTTTCTTAAGCTTATCGGTCGTATTATACTAGATCTAGTACTAGCTCACCTCTTGGTTACTTCAGGCAATCACTGTTTCATAAACTACTTTTTTTTTTCTTTTTCATTTAAAAAAAAATTTTTTTTTAGGGGGGGGGAATTGGATAGTGATAGAAATGATGATTGACCGTATTATGAGCTTTTTATTTGCATTGAATGTAAGTCAAACGTAATTTGAAATAAACTATAATAAAATTTAATAATAATGGTGAATCTACTACTTATACGAAGATGAAGAAGAAGAAGAAGAAGAAGAAGAAGAAGAAGAAGAAGAAGAAGAAGAAGAAGAAGAAGAAGAAGAAGAAGAAGAAGAAGAAGAAGAAGAAGAAGAAGAAGAAGAAGAAGAAGAAGGAGGGGGAGGAGGAGGAGGAGGTGGGGAGGAGGAGGGGGAGGAGGAGAAGGAGGAGAAGGAGGAGGAGGAGGAGGAGGAGGAGGAGGAGGGGGGAGGAGGACGAGAGGGAGGAGGAAACTGCGTTTAATGACATTTACTGTTTGAATATCTATTTCGTTAACCAACAAAAAATACCTGAACATAATACTACACTCTGGCATTAGCAAATATTGTTCTGTCCTTCCCCGAATGTTCCTTTTCTTTCTCTCTCTCTCTCTCTCTCTCTCTCTCTCTCTCTCTCTCTCTCTCTCTCTCTCTCTCTCTCTCTCTCTCTCTCTCTCTCTCTCTATCTATCTATCTATCTATCTATCATGAACACACACACACACACACACACACACACACACACACACACACACACACACACACACACACACACACATGCAAGCATGCATACAAATTACTGAGGAATGTTTTAATCTCACCGGGAAAACAACAACTTTATTTCAACAGGTATATTCAGTACTCTGCTTACATACATTGTCATCATCACCAGTCGTTCACGGAGTGGTGCTGACACGCTAAGGTAAATCTATGTCGCTAGCCGCGTGACTCCACCGCCTAAGTGCCAATTGACACATTTTTCAGGAGAAGCAAAAAACGTTTATTTCTTTATGCTCGTACCTATGTATCTGAATTTCAGATATCTGATATTGATATAATATGATGTTGCACGATGATCTTTTTTAAAAGCTTTCTTACGTAAGTTACTGGACAAAGGTGGTTTAGTCCTACCAGAATCTGCGTGATTCAACCGCCTAAGTGACAGTATGACAGCGTTTAGGCGTTTCAATCACGTTAATCAACGCCACTCGGCGAGCGCCAACGGTCGCTTGGGCGTTTGAATAATCGACAAAAGCTTAATCATTATAGTTTTAAGAGTAATTATTGTTCCGAGTAATTATATCAGTTGCTTGGTTTGGTCTTCAGGGGCAGGACTGGGGGGGGGGGGGGTGGGTTGCCTCATGGAGTTCGTACAAAAGGCCGTTCAATTTGTACTGGATGGTTTTGTTCAGTGTGTATCAAAGGCAATGCTCGTTTGTGACAACGGGGCCGTTTTTGTTTCAACCAGGAATTAATGGTCTAGAAATCAAACAGGGAGGTGGGGGGGGGGTGGGGGGGGGATATTGTCTTGCTTTCTTAAAGACGTTCAAGATTATCCTTGAGCACTTAGACCATACTATTCTTAGGGGACTTGCCGATTGCACTGTGTGTGCTGTCCACTTCCATTTCCGTTTGTTCTTTTTCAAGGTGTTTGTGTTCAAGTTTCGTTCTGTCTGATACAGAGGTCGTTGACTGCTTTTGACCAGATAGTGTTGTGGTCCGATAAGTAGAGCCATCACTGTGGCGTCGGTGGCCTAGTGGTTAGGCTCTCGGACTCGCAACCCTAAGGTCGTGGGTTCGAATCCCGTCAAGGGCCCGACGTTGTGTCCTTGGGAAAGGCACTTTACACGAATTTTCCTCACTTCACCCAGGTGGAAATGGGTACCCAGCTATAGACAGCGAAAGATCTTGTCAGTTTGTTAGTGTTTGAGCGCTTAATCAGCTGCTTGCACTGTATGCTTCCCTGGAAGCTGAGAATGTTTCGGAGTGTTCTATGGTCTGCTGGGGTAATAATATAGTGTAAAGCGCATAGAGCCTGCTGTTGAGCGGGGATATGCGCCATACAAATGCTATCTATTATTATTATATAATGAACGTTGCATAATTTATTGTCAGTAGGCTCCTCCAGGAAGTTATTTTTATTTACACAAGAAGAGAATTCATTGGCAATCAATGGTCCTTCTCCTTCGCGCCAAACCTGACACTTCCCATCTTTGGTTACCAAATATTTGAAGATATTGACAGCTAATTTGGTCCTGTTATGATATAGTGCAGCAGATGCGTTCAACGCTGTACTAACAAATTTGCTTCCTAGTCCATTCACACAATACATAATCGGTTCCAAGCACTAGGTTTTGTGCCAGCTCCATGTTATATTCTTTCTCCTACAGTGCATTCATCACATTGATCCTTCCGACATACATACAACAACATGTTGCTCTTTTTTAAATATCTCTCTAAAGTCATCTGGGACAATGTATGATTTATTCTGTTTTCTTTCGTATTCTTTATAAAGGCCCCTGAGGCTTTGAAAGTGTTGAATAGGATTTGGAAGACCAGGGATATCTCTCTTCGAACAAAGCTGAGGATTTTCAATTGAAATGTACAGTCAGTCCTTTTGTATGGATGTGACACATGGAACGCATCTCAGACTTGCATTAAGAGGATCCAGGATTTCTTGAACAAGTGTCTAAGAAAGTTACTGAGGATCAGATTGACAGACAGGGTTTCCAACGAAGAGGAGTTATGGTAAACAAGACATAATAATGTCCAAGTTAGAGATGAGAAAAAAAGAAGGCGGTGGCGATGGATCGGACATACTCTCAGGAAGTCAGGCAGCTGTATAACTCATTCCATCCCTTTCTGCATAAAAATAGTATGTTGACATTAAATGAAACGGTTCCTAATTGACAATGGAAATCTTTTAAAACCTTTCTTGAGTACCTGTTGTGCTTTTAGCTAGTTTGGTATTCAATGATCAGCCTCGTCGAAAACACCAAACAGTTGTTTAGCTGTATGTTGTTTGTTTTTTTAAGGGGGGTGGGATTGTTTGTTTGTTTGTTTGTTTGTTTGTTTGCTTTTCTTTTGGATTTTTTTACACAGAATTATCAAAATGTTGACCGTGTATGTCATTCGTAAAGATCCGGAATATGCCCTTTTTACAATATTAATAGAATCTATCCAGCCACCCCTTTATCGAAAACTGTTATTAAAGATGCCTTTTTTAAAATTAACAGTCTTTTGCCATGGGTGATTGAGAAGAGTAGACTAAGGGGGCAGGGGATTAAGCTACACCACTTTTTGACAGGAGAAAGTAGCATCGGGAGGGGAATATTGTGTACAGAGGGTTTGTAAAGAGGGGGTGGGGTGAGGAAGGAAGGAGGAAGAGAAGGAGGATGTTCTGTAAGCTATAAGTATCCAATGTGTGTGTATCAATATATATCTAATATTCATATGTTTACAGGGGATTTCTAAATGGGTATGGTTCTTATTTCTATTCAACTATTTTTTAATTTATTTATTTTTATTTTTTTTTGGGGGGAGGGGATTTTTTACCTTTGCACAAAAATGAAACATAATATCCTCTGCCAATTTTTTTTTTGCCACGAGCAGGTATGCCCTTGGCATTCTCTTCCCCAACTTCAACCTGGGTATGGCTATCGTAGACATGTACTCTAACCACAAGAACAAAGAATTCTGTTACGACTACAATTACCAAGAAGTGTGCAAGCTAAACATTACTTTCCCTTGTTGCCGAGACTACGGTAAGTGAGTTGGGTTTGATTTTGGGTGGCAAAATGATAGAGGGTGAATGTGAATGTGTGTGGGTGTGTTCGTGTGTGTGTGTGTGTGTGTGTGTGTGTGTGTGTGTGTGTGTGTGTGTGTG